AGTCATTACCTTGGGGTTAGGAAATGTGATTCTTTCATTTCTGAATTACAAGCATCATTCATTCATTCATTCACTGAGCCAATCCATTTTAAGCAGTGCCTCGTGAGACTTAAATGCTAGAGTTCCAAGGATGGACAGACCTTTGCAGAAGTCTTTACAGCCTTCTGGAAAATGTGGCCATGCAGCTGAAGGTAGATTTAGACTGTCACAGCTGCTGTGGTACGAGGCCCGGTGAGGAATGGGAATGCAAGTCTTCATGGCTTTGGACACATAGATGCCTTCTGCAGAGGTGGCCGCGTCTCTCACTGCCTCCTGGCTTTTTGATGTGAGGTGCTGTGTCTCTCAGTTTCGGGGTCTCTGCCTGACATAGCAGATCACAATGAGACGCAGAGTAGCTCTTCTCCAGGAATTTGTCCTTTTCTCCAAACAAGAGGTTAGCCAGTTATTGTGGAGCTCTCAGTCAATGCTCATGTCCCAGAATCCTCTGAGACAATTACTGCTCATTAGAGCTGTCCTGGAAGGTCATCATTTTGTGACATCCTGACACTCTCACTATTGCTAAAAGGTGACTAATTTTGAGCCAGGAAGTGAAGGGTTCTGAAATGTCCCTGTCTGCACATCTGGCCTCCCTGTCAAATCAAATAGTTATTTCTGATAAGTTCTTAGGCTTTTGTGAAAAAACCTAACCATGTCTGGCCGTTGGTGGTGCTGATAATGAACTGAACAAAGAAGGCACAGAGGAGGAGGTGGGAGGCCGGGGGGAGGATGGCTTTGTGGCCCATTTCAGAGCAATGGGAAGTGATACTCACCACCATATGTCCACCGAGAATGGAGTTAAGAAGTGGGCTCTACTGACCAGGAGCTGGGAACTCGGAGAGGGCAGCTAGCAACAGATGCAACTTGGCCATTGCTAGAGCACTTTGGCTGACCCCTCTTTGGGACACCCTGAGCACTTAGGCTCGTAGTGTGGTGGCAGCGGGTATGTTGGGAAGGTCAGAGACTTGAGGGGCTTCCCTGCTGTTCTGCTTCCCTGGGACCTTGATGTCCATCCTGCTTGCAGAGGTCAAGAAAAGACCTGCCCATTTCTTTTAGAAACATTTGTTTTGACTTACATGTACATGAGAACATGAAAAGGGTACCTATTCACAGGTAGCGTGTTCTGTTTGGTATGTGTATGTGTGTTCTGTGATGTTGGAGTTGGAGTAAGCATAGCCATCTCCTGCTTGTCATTGCTTTACATTGCAAACATTCAAAATCTTGTCTTTTACCTTTCAAACACACAGGGCATTGTGATTGTCTGTAGTTACCACGCTGTGTGGCAGTGCTCCAGAACTTCTCACACTTAGGTAACTAACATGGTATGTACCAACCAGCCTCTCCCTCTTCCTCCTTGCGCCTACCCTCCCCAGCCTCTAGCAGTAAGCACTTGACTCTTACCTTCTGTAACACTGCCCTTTTTAGCTGAGTGTGATCAAGTAGTATTTGTCTGTTCCTGGCATATTTTACTTTATGTAACCTTTATTTCTCTCCGTCATGTTGCAAGTGACAGTATTGTCTTGTTTTTAATGGCTGAATAGTATTCCACTGCTGCATTTTATTTGTCTATTCCTCATTCAGTGGCCACTTAGGTTGTTTCCTTTTCTTAGCTACTGGGGACAGTGCTGCAGCAGACACGAGAGTGCAGTGTCTCTCCAGTGTCTGGTCCATTTCCCCTGGAAATTTTCCCAGTATTGGGATTGCTGGGTCATATGGTGGTTCTGTTTTTAACTGGTTTTGGAGAAGCCTCAGTCTTTTTTCTATATGGCTATGTTTTCTTCTAACAGTTTGATAGTTCCATATTTTAAACTTAAGTCTTAACTCCATTTTGTATTGATTTTGTAACTGGTGAGATATAGGGATCCAGTTGCATTGTTCTTCATGTTGCTATACAATTTTCCGAGCACTATTTGTTGAAAAAACTGTCTTTTTCCAGTGTAATCTTAGCACCTTGGTAAAAAATCAGTTGACTGTAAATGGATGGTTAGTTCTACATTTTCTGCTCTGTTCTGTTGGTCTGTGTGGGTGCTTTTATGTTCATACCATGCTATTTTGATTAAGATAGCTTTGCAGTATATTTTGAAGTTATGTAGCATAATACCCCATGCTTGTTCTTTCTGCTTGATATAGGTTTGGCTATTCAGGTGATTCTGTTTTGTTTTGCTTCCGTACAAATTTTAGTATTGTTTTTGCAAGCTCTGTGAAGAACGTCCTTGATATATGCAGAGGGGTTATAGTGGATCTGTAAATTGCTTCGGGTAGTGTGGACATTTCAACAACATTGACTCTTCCATCACACACATGGGCTACCTTTCCATTTTACTGGTAGATTTTACATCACTAATACTCTTCTCCATTGTGCAGGCTGGCTGCCCTCTCATTCTGAAGAGTCTTTTGCTGTGCTGTAACATTTTAGTTTGATGCAATCCCATTTGTCTATTTTTGAGTTTCTTTCATCAATGTGTTATCATTTTTATTGTAGAGATCTTTCACAATTTTGTTTAAATTTATATAGAAATATTTTTGTAGCTGTTGTGAATGAGGTTGATTTTAAAATTCTATTTCAGACAATTTGTCTGAAAAACCTACTTTTTAATGTTGATTTTTGTATCCTGAAGCTACTGAATTTATTAGTTCTAATTATTTTTGTTATTGTTTGTTTGTTTGTTTTTTTGGTACCAGGGATTGAACTCAGGTCCTTGTGCTTGCAAGGCAGGCCACCGAACCGCTGAGCTAAATCCCTGGCCCTTGTTCTAATTATTTTTAAGTGGAGTGTTTGAAGGATTTTCTATGTATAATCATGTCATATGCAAACAATGACAATTTGACTTTTCCCTTTCTAATCTGGATGCCATTTCTTTGTTTTCCTTTTTTGTTTTTGTTTCTGTGGCTTGTGTTTTTGTGGCGGTGCTGGGGATTGAACTCAGAGCCTTCCACATGTTAGCATGTTAAGTGTGCACTCTACCACTGAACTGAACTTCATCTCCAGCTCTAGATGATCTTTATTCTTTTCTCTTGTGACAACTCTCAATAATACATTGAAAAAAACGCTGAAAGTTGAATACTTGTCTTTTTACCAATCTTAGAGAGAAAGCCTTCAGCTTTTCCCCATTCAGTATTAAATTGGTTGTTGATTTATTATATGTGGCCCTTATTATGCATGGTGCTGACTTACACTCCTGTGCCTAATTTGTTTAAAGTCTTTATCATGAAAAGATGTTAGATTGTATCAAATGCCTTTTGTCCATCTCCTGAGATGACAATATGGTTTTTGTCCTTCATTCTGCTAATGTGATTATCATATTTATTGAAACTTTCTTGCATGCCTAAGATGAATCCCACTTGGTCATGTTGAATAATCTTTTTAATGTGCTGTTGCACTCCCTTTGCTAGTATTTTGTTGACTACTTTTGCATCTGTGTTCATTAAGATACTGGCCTTTCTTTGTTGTGTCTGTGTCTGTTTTTGTATCAAGGTGATTCTAGCCTCGCAGAATGGATTTGGAAGTATTCTTTCCTCTTCAAATTTCCAGAATAATTTAAGAAGAATTGATACGGTTTAAATGGTATAATTCATTGGTATAACTCAGTAGTGAAGCTGTCTGGTCCTGTGCTTTTTCTTGATAGGAGACTTTTTGTTATGAATTCAGTCTTGTTGTTGATTTTTCATCTACTCATGGTTTCTGTTTCTTCTTAATTTAGTCTTGGTAAGGTGTATATGTGAAGGATTTTTTCCCCAATTTTTTCTGGGTTATAAACCTGTCAGTAGTAGTTGTTCATACACCTTCTAAATGATTTGCCTGGGAAGTGGTTTCTAGTTCCTTCACGGGCCAGGAATACTCCCTTAAAGCGCTTAGGACAGGATAGCAGCCATTCTTGGCCATAAAGTTTGCTTTTGTGCTGTATAACAAGTGAGGGTGGGGTATAAATGTACCCTAGGGCATGTTCCATGAACTGGCCTTTTTTTTTTTTTTTTTAAATTTTATTGAGTTTATTGGTACATTTTAGGGATACAGTACAGTTACATTCATTGTTGGGATCATGTACCTTTACATGGCAAGTCTTGATTCTCATTTTTTCCCCTTACCTCTGCCCTCCCTTCACCCCCTCCTCCCCTCCCCATCTACAAACACTTTATTTTCATCTTTTCATTCTCTCACATTTTTTTCTTTTCCCTTTTTGTTCTTCCCCTACGTATCACACCTTCCCTACACCTTTAGCGCCTGTCTTCAAATTTCTAAATATCAGTAATCTTATTAGAATCTTATGCATTGTTGCAGAATATTCACACCAGGGAAACTATTTGGTATTTACACATGTGTGACTTATTTATTTCACTTAGGAGTATATCTTCAATATGTATCCATTTTCCTATGAATGAATCTATTCTCTCGCTCTTTATGGCTGAGTAATATTCCATTTTATAGAAAAACTAAAAGAATCATATCACAGAGAAATATGTGCACCCATGTTTATAGCGGCACAGTTTCTAATTGCTAAATCTTGGAAACAACCTATTTGCCCATCCGTTGGAAACTGGATAAAGAAGTTGTGGTTTTTCTATAAAATGGCCTTTCATTATTTGTACATTTTTTTCTTACACTCTTTGCTTTTTTTTTGAGACAGGGTCTCACTGTGTAGTTCAGACTGCTCTGGAACTCACTGTGTAGCCCAGGCTGGTCTTGAACTCACAGAGATCCTCCTGCCTCAGCCTCCCGAGTGCTGGGATTACAGGTGTGTGCACCATCATGCCCGGCCTACACTCTTTCCTAATATAGCTTCACATTACAAGGTTATTAACTTTTTGTGTCTGTATATTTTTCTTTACAAGCTAATTTGTAAACCGATTGATGCCATGTTTGACGGTTTGGAATGGAATTAGTGAGATAGCCTTCCTTACTGGGCATGTCATCGTGCTTTCCAAAACTTGTTGATTAATGACAACTTTTTGATGTCTCCTTCCAGGTTGTATGGCTGCTTGTCTTCTCTGAAAATGTTTCTCCCAAGAACCTAGTGGAATCTACAGGAGGGCTGTGGTTCAGTGTATGAGAAGGGGCTTTTGGTAATGAGTTCAGGTATAGTGAAAATCTTCTGAAGAATAAATAAAAGGGCCTCTCCTTTGGAAGTTTCCCCAAATAATAATAGCATTTGCACTGCTATCTAGGGGCCAAGAGCCAGGTGGTGATTTGCTTTCGCTTGCTGACTCCCATTCTCTGGAAGAGGTTCCTGAGGCAATGGTGAACAAGTGCTTCAGAGGCTGAGCAGTGGACACTGGGTGGGGAGAGCAGAGCTGTGGCCTGCCTGGCACTCTCTCAGGCAGTGCAGTTCATGAAGGAGGGACATGCTTTCTTCCCAACGCTCTTGTGGGTGTTGTAGGCCCAGATAAGAACAAGTCACAGTCTGTGTCGCCAAGGAACTCACCGTTTGTCCAGCGCTGGGTGATAGGATAGATTACAAAAGCACAAACAGTTGCTTCTCAGTATTTCCCATAGTTAGGTCATATAGTTGCTGCAAACACTGAATTAATCAATGTGAAATCATTGCCTCAGGAGAAATAATAGAGTTCCGTTCCCTTGAATCTCTGGCCACAACATTTCTGTTAACCTGTCAGTGTTTAACCTTGTTTTATGTGTGTGTCTTTTTAAAGAAACCTGCCTTAATGTGTATTGTTGACTCTGGAACATTGAACTCATGGCCAGGGGCAATATAATTTAGACCTGAGCAAAGCTTCTCTCACTTGTGTTTTCGCTGGAAGGCACAGCACAGCCTTCTTGTGTTTTAGGAGTCCTAGACTGCACTTCCACAACACTTGGGAACTATATAAGGTAGCATGCTCCCTAACAAAAGACCAAAAAACTAGTGTTTCCGTCTTGGTTACTTTTTTGTTCCTGGGACAAAATGCAGGACACCTACAAGTTAAGGAAGGAAAGGTTTATTAGCTCACAGCTTTAGAGGTTGCCGTGCATAGTCGGCTGGCTCCAAGGCAGGGCAGCATGGCAGAGGGACAGGCAGAGGAGAAACAGTTCATGACAGAGCCGGCAGAAGAAGCAGCCTACCTGCCTCCCATTTTTCCCTTTATATTCTTTCCAGGCTACTGACCTGTTGGTTTGTGCCACCCATACCTGTGTTGGACTTTCTGTCATCCACACCCAGAACTGTGCTAATCCAATCTGTGGACTAATTCAGTACCACACACCCTTCATCCCAGTATCACACACCCTAGGTCCAGCCACCTCTGAAAAGCCCCACCTATGAGTGCAGGAGGCTTTTGGCAGACATCTAGATATAAACCATAACAGTTACTGAATAGACCATGGAAGGAATCCTTATTTAAAGTGTAAGTCCCCAAACAATAAACACTGTCATCTTGCTTGCTTAACTTCAACTAGGAATATGCACGTTGATGACTCATAATTTTCACCACTCTTCAAATGAACACAGATGACTTTGAAATCACCACGACTTTTTTTATCTGAGGGTTACACATCACTTTTCACCAGCAGGGAGATTTGCACATAGCAAGTCCACAAATCAGAAGGGCAGACTGTATGTCACGATCAAGTATCAGCAGAACTGTCACACTTGTCCACGGAGACGCCACTAAAGCAGGTGGTGCCTTTAAGTGAGGCTCGGCCTGTCTTCTCTGCAAGGAGACAGAGCATGAGTATCTAGACTTTGCCAACCACACAGTGTCTATGGCAGCTACTCAACCCCGTCACTGTAGAGCAGAAGTAGCCACAGAAGATGCGTAACGAATGTGCACAGCTCCACACCAGTAAAACTTTAATATTTGCACACTGAAATTTGAATTTCACATACTTTTCCCATGTCACAAAATACAATTCATCTTTTGATTTTTCCCCAAATATAATATAGTTACTTAGCGTATTATCTGTGTGCTTAGCTCACAGGCCAGACAGGAGCATATGGTGACCAGATTTGGACTGAAGGCCACAGCCTGCCAGCTCTAGCCTTTGACACTGTAAGATAGGGATGCTTACTGATCAGAAAGATCTAAATAATTCTGAAAAAGAAATGGATGGAATCCAAAATTCACCTGAAATCCCACGGGATTTTCACAAACGGCGCATAAGTAACCCCACATTGGTGCACGTGGCCACAGGGCGCCATTCCTGTGGTCCTGTAGTTAATCACAGTAAGTCCGGGACTTAAAGATGAGTTCTGTTCTGGGAGAACAGTCAGAGGTTGGATTCAATGTTATGGCAGTTTCATGTGTAAGTCCCACAGGATGAGTCTTACACACCTGGCATAATTGCACAGTGTACATTGCTTTGCACTTCCCAGCTTTCCCCTCCACCTCACCCTGCTTTTCCTCTTGCTCTGGGATACCCTGGGCTCTGACTGAGCGCTGTGCCACTGCACTTTTGCACACACTGTGCAGTAGGCACAGAGCAGCACAACAGCACAAGGGAGACAGTGTCTGGCAGGCACACAAGCTACTTCTGCGATTTGCTTGCTGTACAAATGTTCATAACACAAGGCCCATTTTTATCAGTGAAAGTTTGTAAGTTGGGGACTTGCTGTATCCCCTTGAGAAATGTGATGGCCTTATGCTTTATTAAGGACAGATGTCCAGCATGCAGCTGGTGGCCAGACTTCATCTTCTGTGGCTGGATCCCAATGGACACTTGCTTGTTTCCTGCCATTGTCTTGTAGATTGTGTTGGAATTTATAACTGTTTCAAAGGGCACAGCATGAATTCTCCTACACTCTCACTGCGTGGTCATTATGGTGAAGGAAACACATGAGTAGTGTCAGACCCGGCCCTCAGACACGACTGAAAAGGGAAAGGTTGACACATGCGATAGGGCCATCTGGGCCACAAAGCCATCGGCCATTCCCACCCCCAGAACCTTGGGATGTGAAGTCCAAGTGTGGACAGGTGCCCTGGCTTTCCTGGGTCAGCTGCATGCTGCTCAGATTCCGGAACCATGGAGAATAGCAGAGAGGGGCCTGTGTGGTCATCACACCTATTAGGAGCAGGTGTGCATACTAGGGGGAGGACCTGGGGGTTGTGCTCACCACACAGACCTTGCATCCAGGTGTTCCCACCTGAGCTAGGTCCTTGTACTGAGATCCCTGTCCTGGGCAGTGTAGTCCCATGCACAGAGTCTGGTGCCTGCACACCTGGAGGGCCTTCCCAGTATGCTCACCACAGAGCAGGTAGGTAGGTTTGTGAGGTGCTGACACTCTTGCTGTCTGGGTCACTAGACAATCAATTTTGTTGTCTGCATAGCTGACACAGTCAGCTGCCTGCTCAAATAAATAGAACCTGGACATCAAATGCCACATGCACTTTGACAGCCACCCTTGATGTGTCACCTGTTGGACACAAGCTCTGTGTCTGGGGAATGCTTTCCTCTGAACTTGAGAAGATACTGCATATGAGTGAGCTGCAGGTCGCATTCTAGTCCTACATTTTCTGGGGCCAGATGGGTTTCCAGCCCTGCTCCTGCATCCTGAGTGTTTGGAAACATCTTTGAGCAGGTAGTCTATCTTGAGATCCTTTCCAGAATCCCGCCTTACATGTACCCAAGAGTGTTGGCTGCAGTGGTATTCGTGACCCTGAAAAATCAGAAATAGCTTCAATCCCACATCCTAGGGGGATGGTGAAAGAGAGAATTCATTCTTCAGCCAGTTAGATAGGACAATGATAGTTAAAATGGCAGCATTGTGGGGGAAAGGCACAGCATGGAAATTGTGCACACGGCTTGATGATAGAAAAAGAAAAGACAAAGATACCACTATGAAAGGACAAATAAGAGCACCCGTGGATCGGTGGCCATGTGAGTCCACTCAGGAAAATGGGCAGCCCCCCGTCTCTGTGCTTAGGCTCTGGAAACCCTCAGCTCCAAGCCACCCTTCACACCCACTGCATGTGACAGAGTCTTCGTTACCATGTGTGACAGCGTCTGCAGTGTGACATGTGGTAACTCCTGTACTGGGCAATCGGGAAGGGAGACCCAGGGAAGGGCCAGGGTGTTAGGTGCAAAACGTTGCAGGCGGCAGCAGCAGTGAAAGCTGGAAGTTGAGCAGCAAGTGCTTCCTTGGGATCCTCGCCTCCTGGGGAGGGGCCTGTTTCCAAGAGTGGGTTGCAGAGAGCATTACAGAGGGCAGAGCTGTGCACCTCCAGGGCGGGTAACTGGTGCTGCTACCCGGACTCCACCCGCTTTCCCCACTGCAATTCCCTGGGTCAAACAGCCGGCCAAGGCTGGCCCCTTGCTGAGCGAGTCTGAGTCCTAAGGACTTCGGGTGACCAGCCCTGTGGTTCAGGGCTCCTGCTGAGGAGGGCCTTCCCCTGGGAGGTGAGCATACCTGATCTGGCAGCTGTGGAGATGGGAGGGCAGCAGAAGGGCTTTGTCATACGTTCATTCCTTCTTATATTTGGGAGAGAGTAGAGAACGTGAAGCATTGCCATCAGCACACCATTTTAAAAACTAGCAATAATATAGAAGGAAGAGTAACCACTGCTAGCTTAGAACCCAACTCACCCCTTCTTGAAAGAGCCCCGTTCCCAGTTTTGTGAGCCCTGTGTTGTAGTGGTAAACACCTCACCAGGGCAAAATCCCACGATAGCTGATGTGAGACCACTAAGGTTCAAGCTCAGCGGCAGTCTTCTTGAAGGTGTAGCAGTAGCTTTCTCAAGTCTGTACAGGCTCACAACGTTTTGGGTTGTTTCTTCTGCTTCTGTTACTTCCTCGACTCCTCCTCCTCCTTTCTTCTCCTTTCTCTTCCTCCTCCCTGTTCTTCCTCCTCCTCTCTCTCTCCTTCTCCTCTTTCTCTGCAATTGGAAACCCATTATTGTATTAGTCAGCACGCCATTTCCATTTCTTATGGCACACCATAGGTCCTCTTGGCTCCTTTTTGTCATGCAATAGGGTTTCCATGAAGATGAGTGCATCTTCATTCTGCCAAAGACAGGTGGTCTGCTGGAACAGGGAGGGGGAAGCTGCCCTTGGGGTTCAGGGCCTGACTCCTGCAGTGCTGTGCACACCTGGCTTTTCCCTGCTCTAGCTTATGGCTTCTTCTAAACAAGCTTCCTGTAG